CCCCAAAACCCCAAAACCCCAAAACCCCGACTCTTTCTGCAAAGATTGAGGTGCTTTCTTAAGAATCCTTGGAATTAGAGGAGCTCTTCAGGAAGTCATGGAGGTATTTCAGCAGAGCTCTCTGAGCTTGATCTGGGATGAAGAGAGGGTGGCTTGATAAAGGAGGGTTTTTGGTCATAGTTCTCATTTTGAAGGAAGATTGGGGATTGGGAGAGGATTTTGGAAGTTTGGTGGTGGAATTAAAGTGGCGGGTTGAGTTAAGATGGTTTGATTTGATGGGAGGATCTTTCTGGTCTTCGAATTCTATCTTTTTGTCAAGTTTGAAGCGAATATGGTCTTGAAGGAATTGGATGGTTAATCAAGGATTGTTTTTAAGTATGAGAAAGTTTTGTGGTAGCTTATATATTTCTCAAGGAGATAAAAGCGAATGTGATAAAGACATTGCTCTTTTAAGAGATTTAACCTCTTCCTCTGGTTGAACTCTTCAAACGCTAAATTTCTCCACCTCTCCTTCTGCAAATTTTCTAAATATTATTTAACACAACTTGCTCATTCTTCCTGTTAACGAACTCAATTGAGTACCTTCCAATCCCTGGAATAATCTGACCTTCGCATTGGTCTTCCTCCTCATCAAAGGTTACAACATTATACAAATCTCCAATATACAAAATCCTAAGATGCTCAGGAGGATCCTTCAAAAACTCTAGGCCTTCAAAAGACTGCCAATCAGCTGTCCCAGCAACAACGACTCCCTTCAAGTTTTCAAGATCTTCTTCAAGAGGGAATTCATTTTCAAAGAGATGATAGATTTCCCAAGTATCTCCTTCATCCATGAAGCTGGACATAATCATGGCTTCAAAGTAAATAGAGTCTTCTGGATTTCACAGAAAAATTCCATAATTTGGGCATGAAGTTTTAGCAATTCCATCCTCATCTTGGCCTATAGAGACGAGTTAGTCAATTTTTGAGTAAGCCTTACCACTCGAAAGGATCCCTAAGTGAATATCCAGTAATTCAGATGCCTTTGATGAGATTACTTGCAAGTTGAATGAAGAAATTGTGGATAATAATGACTTTTTCAATCCTGAAGCATCCTTTTTAGGCTCCTCACAAACTTCAGAGATGATTCTGTCTAATTTCAACCATTGGAATTGGAACTGTTCGTACCCTAGATATAGAAAAATTATGTACCTTTAGTCTCTTTCAAAGCTTGGTTGATTGAACTCAGGTCAATGTATCAATTAAGAGGAGTAAATATGCCTAAAAGTAAGATCTCTGATTAAAATTTACCAATATATTCCCCTCAGATATGGTAAACATTGAAATATTTCGTGAAATGAATAAGTTCTTGCAGCCCATTCTGGAGCTCAACACCTACATTCTGATTTGTTACGCTTACTCCCGTTCAGATTAACCTTATCAATCTCAATATTTTGTAAGAATTCTGAGAAAAAGCCAAAAGACTTCTCCAAGAATCCTCTGACAGCTGAGAAGAAGATACTGGATTCACTAGGAGTTCTCCTAGTGCCAAAATCTTCAAGTAAATCTGGGTTTGGACCTTCATTATTTGACCTGAAGAGGATCACTAAGTCTCCATTCTGATCGATCGAGTAAGGGAAGAAGCCTCATTCGTCAAATCTAACCATTTTTCAAAATTATAATTTTGGACTGGGGTTTTGGGGTTTTGGGGTTTTGGGG